GATAACTAAATGGCCTTTATTCGAAGTTTCTCAAGAACCATTCGAGCCACAGAATTCGTTTTGGCATCGTTGGATAGAGAATTGAAAAGTCCATTTAGTCGTAACATCGTGAGTGAGGAAATTCGAGTAGTTTTGACTCAGAAAGCGAAATTTGAATATCAGACACTTCGGTTCAAGATTATGCCAAAATTCCAAAATTGATACACTCTGTAGCAAGGGCTTGCAGCTCTAATTTCTAAAAATCTGTCTGAAATTGCGTAAAAGCCTGATTTTTAGCAATCGTGTGAACCAGGGAAGAAAAATGAACATTAAGCCCAACTGCGCGCCCTCTTTTAAAAAATTCCCAGCTTTCAATTCGGAACCGGCAAGAACTGGAAATTTCAGGAACTTGAAAGATGAAACTTGAGGCCGAAAACTTGCACAATTTCACCCAAATCCCGCAGGATTCTGATTTTTGGGGAATCTCGTCAAGGATGGACCGCAAATAAACTTGCTTGCCCAGTTTTGAAACTGGATTCGCGGACCCCATAGAAACCCCTTGGAGCTCACAACCCTCAAAGTTTCACTGTTAAGTACAATTTCGTTGCAATAAATTGCAAGAATTGCTTGATTTTTGGCGATCGGGTGAATTTTGAACCGAAAACGCACACAGCTATACCTCCTGGGGCATCGTGCATTGCCTAACATTTGAGGCAATGTAACATATAAGAGTTGGCATCGTTACTGTCAAACATCGAATCTAGCGGTAGCCCAGATATGTTGATACGCTTTGGTCCGGCCCCGGTGAATGGCGCGCAGTTTAAAAATGTTGTTTTGTATTTGAAGTATTTTTGCCAAACAAATTGAAGGAACATATTTAAGAATGAAAAGCCTCATAAATAGTATTGGTACAAGAGTCTTTAAAGTCCGCAACCTAAAATGCAATCATATACATATTTATATATTTTTTTCAGTCGTATACGAGGTATATCAGAAAATATGAATTTTGTTCAAGAATAAAGTGACTTTTTCTATTACATATTTTTGACAATATATGATATATTTCACGGCGCTAAATGTAAATGTTCAAACTGCGCGCCATTCACCGGGGCCGCACATATAAACTATCTGGGCTACCGCTAGAAGCGAGTTGTTGACGTCAGCTGACTTGTTTTTGTGGGTGAAATTCCGAAATTGCTGGAGGAAAATGCCACGTAATTTTCACTGAGAAAACCAAAGGAAAATGGGAAATTCAAGCAGTGTGGAATTACCCGGTGGCGGTTCCGAAGGATACCATGTGCTTAGAGTGAGAACCATTCAACCCATACAATTTTGCTCAGCAAATTGCCAATTTATTTACCATAACTTTCAACATCGGCAAAGAGAACTAATTGAGGGTATTTTCGAAACTACTGTGAATTTGTAGCTTTAATCATGCATCCCGAACTCGTAAAACATCTGCTAAGGTTTCTTTTACATTCGTTAAAGTTCGTGCAACTTGCAACAGATTAATGGCCTGATTTGGGCGTTTTTCAGGTGTTTGCAAGCTTTTTAATCGTGAATGCCCTTTATAGTGTTGAAGTTTTCGCCTTCTAAAGCTTTCCATATCCAGCGATGTTAGTCTGCACTGACAAAAGTGTCTAAGTATTGTTTAACACTTTGGTGCAGGTCCAGGAGAACTCTCCAGGAGCAAAAGCCGGCCTGCAGCCGTTCTTCGACTTCATAGTGGTGATAAATGGGGTGCGCTTGGACAGGGATGATGGCCGACTGAAAAACATCTTGCACACTAACGTTGGTAAGCGCTACTTTATTTCCACACAGTGAAACCTGCACAACCGGGTTTGTCTACCACTTTGGATTGCTTTAAAATCTTTGATATATTTTTCAGGAAAAACGGTTCCAGTCACGGTTTATAGCTGTAAAACGCAAACTGTTCGCGAGATCCAGATCGTTCCAGACGACTCCTGGGGCGGACAAGGACTGCTGGGGATTAGCATCCGGTTCTGTTCCTTTGAAGTGGCCAAGGACAATGTATGGCATATCATGGAAGTTCATCCAGGGTCGCCTGCTGAAGCTGCCGGTCAGTCTCCATTCATATCCAACAGTCCAGTCGACAACGCTGTTTTGTTCCAGGGCTGCGCGCATTTTCTGACTACGTGATTGGTTCAGATTCGATTCTGCATGAAAGCGGGGATCTGTTTAATCTCATAGAGAACCATAACGGCAGTCCTTTGAAGCTGTATGTGTACAACTGCGAACAGGATTCTTGCCGGGAAGTTATTATAACTCCGAACTCTCAATGGGGCGGAGCAGGACTTGTTGGTGAGTTGCATAAAAATCAGCACACTTGGTATGTCCAGACCCAGTTTACTTCTTGGTGATCGAGTTGATTCTTTGAATCGAAAACGTTCATTTGTTGCAGGCTGCGGAATCGGTTACGGCTACCTCCATCGCATCCCAGTGCGCATCAGCACTTCTGAGCAATCCAACCCTTCTGTTGGTTCCCATCCACAGCCACACACAACAACTGCAGTTCCTATTGCAAGCATTCCGAGTGACAACACCCAACTGAGTACCGCTCATTTCGTCGGAGTATCCAACGTTGCGCCACCCACTTCGCTACCTCCCTTTATGCTGACTGCAGCTCAGACGCCTGTATCATCGTCAGTTCTGAGTACCAGCGCTGGGGTTCAGAAGCCCCAGATAAGCGCGATTCCCAGTATATGCGCTCAGGCGCCCGGAGCTGTTACGTCAGGCCTGCCTAGCTACCCGTTGGCGCCGCCAACGATTCCCAGCACGGGAGTTACTCAAGTCGCTTACTTACCACCAGCCACTCAAATTTCAGGGATTACCCCCGAGGCTCAGCTACCACCTCAGCCTGTTGCTTACACGTTTCAACCTCCCCCTGCAGTGACAATGTTTGGGCCAACTGCGACTACAGTTTCCACTATCGCTCATGTTAGTGGGCCAGTGACTCCTGGAAGTTTTGCGCTGCCGCCTGCATCTCAGCAAGCGGTGCCCCCAGTGCCGATGTATGATCCAGCCAGTTTCCAGCAACCGCAGTTGGCTGCTCAGAACGTTCAGAATCCGCTGATTTATGATCCCACCATCGCCGCCATGTCGGCGCGCCAGATTCTGAGCGGCAATTTGGAAACCAGTTAGGAACACCTTTCTAGTCAGATAAACGGAGTTCGGAAATTGATTGGGCACTCGAAGAACAGTGACTTTGCGGTTTAGCGATTATTATGCTCCGGTTTTAATCGAGAAACTTGTGTTTTTGTTTCGGCACTATAGTCGGTCACTTATGCGGATTTTTCTAGGGATTAAGGTAAACGTTTCTATATTTCTTGCTGTACACTATTTGATTGCCTTTTGTAAATAAAGTTTGTATGTGCTGTTTATTTTTGTGTTGAGCTTAGAAACGTTTTTCCTTTACTACAGTTACCTGAATTTAACCGACTTAAACTGCGATTTTTATTGTCAAGAAACCGGTTTGAAACAGGATTTTTCCAGACACTCAGGTTGGTCGATTTCGTCAAAAACTGCAGTTTTTATGAGAGCAGTTGTGCTGTTGGAAAGCAGGTATCTGCTTGAAATTTGCACAATCTATAGAAAAAACTCTGGTTGAAAATTCACAATTTACTGAACTCTTGACAAACTGGCATCATCAAAAATTATTCTCTGCCCAACTGCACGCCCTCCTTTAGAAATTCGTTACTTCCAATCCCGGGCAAGTATTAACTTGAAACTGGCACACCTTGTAGAAAATATTTGGCTCTCACCACTCTGACAATTTCACTCAAATCGCGTAAAATTCTGAATTTTGCCGAACTTGCGAATGGTGGATAGAAAATTAACAATTTTGTTCAATCGCATGCCCCCCTTTAAAAACGCATAACTTCCAATCCCGGGTAGGTGGAGACGTGAAATTTGCACAGTCTATAGAACATGCCTGCAGCTGCAAACTCCAAAAATTTTACCGCAATCGGATTAGATTCAGATTTTTGGCAACTTTTTAACTTACAGGAAGAAATCGAGCAAGTT